ATAGATTTATCGGCGCCGGATATTAAGACGATATTATCTTTAATTTTCGTCAGAGCAACGTCATTTCATGGTGTATTACGTGTTGATCGTACGATGATAATGATAAGAAGGATAATTGCTACTAGAAAATGTATGTATCGGCGTATAATTACGCGGTGAAACACGAGACAAGTGGACCACCTAACGCGATTGCTTCGATTATTCTTGTTATTAACCAAGATCGATTGAATCTTTTTTTTATTATGGATTATATACGATTTTAAAGGATCATTAACTCTTTCATGTTCAATTTCTTTTTTATTAAAGTAATATGAATCTACTAAAGTAATATGTATCAATAATTTTCTAATAATTCATTGATTGTTTTAAATTCAAACGGATTAATCGATTTGATAAATAATGATTTCATTATTTTATGAAATTCGAATATTTAGAACACGTCATGAATTTTAATCGCATATATTATCTGACAAAATTATTATATCGAAATTTTCTTTCGCGTATTAAACTTTATTTATTAAAGTTCTAAAACTTATGAGCAATGGTGTATGAAATTTCCCAGTTCTGCGCAAACTCTTGACGCCACGATTATCTCGGACGAGAGGTTCCTTCGACAAGAAGCGTGTTAATTTTCCCCGGTTGGCCGTTGTTTCGTGATCGCTATGATCGACGACGTTACTCCCACGAGTCCTCGTATTTATGGGGCTCGAGATTAGCTCGCGAGACCCCTGCTGTAACCTTTGAAACGGCGACGAGGAAGAGACTTTTACGACATTGCCACGTAATCGAACGACGTTATCATAAACCCTGCCGCATGAGTAACTTTATTGCCTCGCGTTTACCCCTTTTCTGGATGCGTTGTCCTACCTATTTTGCATTCTTATATATATATATATATACACATTTATCCACCATCTCTTAAGCCATTTCCATATATCGATACGTCGAAAGGAACGCGAAAATTCGTTCGATAAACCCTTACTAAAAGCATTCTAAAGAGAAATAACAGGAGAAACAAAAATTTCACGGATGTCATCGGTATTTCGCCGTACACGAGTACTTTGCAGAAAATTCGATGAGATCACCCTTATAAACTATCGCAATCATTCACGACGATTCCTCCGCGAGGCTCCTAAATATTTCGATCACCGTGCATCTTTCGTTGCATTTTCGTCGTTTCGCCACTCGTTCGATTGGTTCAATTAGCGCGTTGAAGCAAAAGCAAACGAAAACCCGTTCGATCGGGTTTTACAATTTATAAACGAGATAAAGGGTGAAGGGAGGGATGGGAGAGGGGGTAGGATGCGGATTATCGTTTAGCCCCGAAGCGCATTATTTTCGCGATACGATCACCGGATACGCAATATCCTCGATTCCCTTAATGAGTAACGGTCGATCGAGCAATGATTTCGCCGGATTTCGAAATCG